GCTGTGAAGCGTTTTGGGAGGACGTCGTTTCTAATCCATCACTGGCATTTGGGAGGTGCCAGCCAGCAGAGGGTTTGGCCTGATGGAAATGCAAGGGATTATGATATAAAGCACATGGGTGCTTCCTCCATTGAGCCGGCATTCCTGGGATAGACCTGCCGTGCCGAGGAGGAAGTGTAATGGGTGAGGCTGCTCCATCCTCCCTTCCCCATTGCCATAACCTGCCTGGGGTCACTTCCAGGGGTCCAGCGAGTCATTCATTATTTACTTGCTTGTCTCTGTGTTCCTGGGGTCCTTCCTCAGTTTGACACCTGGGTGGAACATGGCAGGGACGAGCACTGATACTCATACACGCCTGGCTCTTGGCCCAGGCTTAGGGCCATGCTGGGGTCAGGCTAGCTCTTAGGGGCAGCAGGGGAATAGGAGACCACAGCAGGTGTGTTGACCAGCTTGTGGTATGAGCTCCGCCAGGTGCGTGCACTCATTTCCTGCATGGAAAGGACTGGGATTAGGTAACAGGAGCAAGACACAGGCCCATGGGAATTGCTCAGGAGGATGGTAATTCAGTGGAAGTGATGGGCCTGATTCTCACCCATGCTTGCACCTTAAAAGGGCCTTCAAAGGGGAATAAACTGTTATTTATACCCACTCTGAGGCCCCTTTGTGCAACAAGAGCCGTGTAACTGAGAAGCAGGCCCAGAGGAGTGTTTCACCAATGGCTCCTGTCCTTCCACTGGCCCAAATCAGAACCATGGATCCAGCATGTCCCCGGCTTTGGCTTGTTCAGCTCTGGGGTTCGGGCTTGGCCCACAGGGAAGATTTTGCGTTGTTCAGAGCTGGGTTCAGATTTCAAACCCCTCCTAGGCCAGAGGGCTGCGGAGGTAGGAGAAAGCCCTGCTCGGTGCCTGGGCAGGGTGGAGCTTTCTGGCTCCAGAGCCGTATACAGCCAGCAGAGACAGACGTGGGAAGGGGGCACGTGTGATGTGAGGGACTGGGCACGAGGCCGGGAGTCAAGGCATTTAGCCAACATTGATAGAAGCGGCTAGTGCTTTGGGGTACCTCACTTGTTGGGGCCCAACGTGAGCCACATTAAAGGAGCTGAGCACCTGCCCTCTAGAATCCAGGCTCCTTTCTAGCGGGTCAGGCCCCCAAAATC